CTCTTTGTAAGAAGATTCAGCTTGGAAAGCTGTGATCAGCCTAATCAGTTTTCTATTACTGAGACTGGTGCTCATAGTGCAATTTGTTAAATCAATTTATTATCCTCCCAACCAACTTCAGTGATCAGAGCGTGAAAACACTGAAAGAAAATTAAAACTAGTGGAAGTGTTGCTTGTTTGGATAACAGCACATTTTGCTGTTTCAAAGGATTACTCATCTGCACCAAAACAGGGAGAGAAGTTAATTTCAATGATTTAGAATCTTCTATTTCAGGGAGGCCTGGCTTGCACATTATGATGGATTCAGGAAGAAGTATAATTCGTTCTTAAATTGTTAAACAGCACGTTAGGGCCAAGTGGCCAAGTAAAAATGAATGGATTCATTTGTAATCCTCAACAAGCGTGTCTGTGTGTGGGAGGGTGGGATGGCAGGCTGGGGTAACCTGTAAACAAATGCCAGATGCATGCTGGCACTTCAGGCTTTGGGTGTTGAAAAGCAGCCAAAATAACCTGCAGAGAAGGGAAATGGTGCTTTTCTGCCTAAAATGGAATTCTGCAGATCCTCCAGTCCTGTCCTCCTGTGCCCTTCAGTGGGAAGGGGAGGTTCCCTGGATTTTCAGAGGGCAGTGGCTCTCCCATCTTTGCATCTTCAAGCTTCTGAGTGTGAACTAAAGCAAAGCACCTCAGCAGGTGCCAGGATCCTGTAGGGCACAGGGACCTTTGGTGCTACCAGTGGCATCAGAGTAACGTGGGAAGGTGTCTGGGAATGTTTCCTATTTCTGCAGTGCTGTCCCTTCTGGATTGGGTTGATGGTGCACATCTGGAAAAGGCACTGTAGCTGCAGATGTGCTGTACAGTGTAAAATTCAGAAACCAAAGCTGATGGTATCATATGAACCATGAAATGTTGCACTGGTAGGACAGGAGAAGTGTTTCACTCATAGTTCTTTCACAGGACATAAATCACTTTAATAGTTTCAAGTCATGGCTGGTGGTTGTTTTTCTATCGCGAATACTGGTTCTCTCTTCCCTGCTAAATACTGCAGAGCTGTTACAGGGGCTATAAGCTATTAAAAAAACCAACAAAAGCTATTAAAAAAAACCTCCTTGGACTCTTCTGTCTTCCTCCAGTTTCTGCATATGCTTCTGTTTGAATTTCTTAGGTGCCTCTGCAGGTGGCAGAGTACGGTGTTGGAATGAAAAGTCAACTGGATATGAGCAATTCCAGTCCTGGAAGGTCCTGGGCATGCTGCAAGTGGTCACCAGGCTAGAGGGGTCTGAGGGCAGCTCTGCTTGGATGAGGCCAGTAGGAAGAAGTACAGTGAGGCCACCACAGAAATTTGACGTAGGGGGAAAAAATGCCTTATTTTGCAAAGTTTAGGGCTGCTTCTGTAAAGCAGGATGCTTCTAAAACTTCTCTCCTATCTTCACACAGCTTTATTTACAGCTCAAAGTAAAGAAAGCAGTGGTTCTTGACTGGTACTGTTAATGTATACACTGTACATCAACTTTATTGCAAAGTGTGTTAGCAAACTACCAGAATAGTTTTCAATCTGCAGATAATCTTACTCTCATTTATATTTTTGGGCTGTGTTACTTTGCCCAGCATAGGCATAGCCATTGGAATCCATCCAGTTCACCTAACAACTTTCATTAAAGAAAATTGCCCTTGTAATAAAAATTACTCAGTGTGACAAGATTCCATAATATATTTTTTTAAAGCTTCATTAAATTTTGTAGTAGTTAACGGCACTTGTTTGGGTTTTTTTAATTTTCTTTTAAAAGCAAAATTTGGCTTAATTGGGACAATATTTGAAATAGAAGGAAATAACTATTTTCTATCTGGGTGCATAGAAGCCAGGCCGTGTGGCAGGAATAGCATGAGGATAAAGAAATAAAGAAATCTCTTTGAAAACCACATTTTACTGAGTTTTGTATATTGTGAGGTTGCTCAGAGGTCTGTGACTCTTCAATTAGGCAAAGCAGATGCAATAAGCTCTGCCCACTTACAGTTCATGATAGAGAAGTCTTAATCTGACAAAATGCAGTAACCAAAGATGGATTTTTCTGCACATTTGGGAGGAACAGCCTACCTGAGCATCATCCTGCAGGACAGCCCTCAGCAGGCGTGTTCCCTGCAGCAGTGTGAGTGCACAGATGCTGCTGGAACACCTGCAGCTTTTCCTTGTTCTCCAAAGCATCAGGGACATGATTCCTGTCGTGTGAGGCACTTTACACTGCAGCAAACAGCAGAGTCCTCACTGCAAGCATGGAAGGCTTTGGTGTTTTCTTGCTATGGAAATGTAGTAAAGAAGTGCTGAAGAATGAAGCCCAGCTTTTGGGAGTGCAGTGAGAAGTCAGTGGATTAGACTCTCTGCTGTCTCTTTGCACAGTACTTGCCTGAGAACACCCCATGGCTCCTGTGCCTTCCTTTCCCCATGACACTATAAAAATGGGGAAATCTCCATTTTTAGCTGCTTGTTCATCTATAGACACAAATCAGCCTGTCCTCAGTCAGTGTAGCAGAGCAGCCTTCATCATCACATCATCCTCACAAGTGATATGGCCAAGTCCAGTGGCTCTGTGCTACCCTTTTGGGGGGCGTGTGAGACCAGATCCCGGGACGTTCTCATGTTTGGTAGGAGGCTGAGCATGCCATGCTTGTGTCCCTGGAGGAGTCACTTCAGCTGCCCCAGGTGTCACCACAGATGAAATTGCACCACAAATCAGAACAGTTCAGAAAGGCTGGTGATGTTAAAATGGAAATTATGGACACACATGTGGTAGGCAAACCTCTGGGATCTTTCCTAGTCTCGTTTTCTCATTTTAATCAAAATAAAGAGCTGAAGAAAGGCTCTTTATATTTTCCATTGGTTTGGAGCTGTGGATTTTTTAAGACTTTCCAGTGCTTTATAGGTTTGGCTTGGATAATGTATGTATTATGTAGTCTGATCATCCAAGTGTCTTCTGCTATTATCAATCTCTGGCTGTTGTTAGGGAAATCAGACTGAGAGTGTCTTGTGTGATGGTTCCTTCTTTTATTATAACGAGCACCAGCAGCCACTCTTGTGTTTATCTTGTATTGGGTACATAAAGTCTGCATCCTGGTTTGGGCTTAGCTGATTTATGCTTGAAGTGAGAATTATTTGTTCTCTGCAATGAAACAATCTTTTGTGACAAACTAACAATGGCAAGGGATGAGCTCTGATGTTAAACAGTGGTAGCTTTTCTTTTCTTTCTTTTTTTTTTTTTTTCTCCTCTCGTTTTAAGTCTACGCACTGCCTCAGGAGGAAGGCAGCTGCACTAATAATATGTCTAGTCTCTGTGGAAGGCCCTTATTTGAAAAATCTGTAATTGAGTGGACAAAATTTCTGGTTGCTTGAGAGGATCTATTCAGAAGAGACCTGAAAAGGATGAGGGAAAAGCACACTAGACATCAAGAAGTCCTAAGGGCTCTATTGAGAGGGAAACCTATGTTGATACTGTGAGACAATTACACTTGTCAGGCAAAACACCAAAATGAATCTGTGAAGTAAAATCCTGGGGAATATTAAACAAAGCTTTGAACAGGGCAGAGAGCTTGCTGGGAATACCTCAAAAGCAAGGAGGTGTATTTGGGTGATGTTTGAAGGGAGGCAATGATGGCTGCTTCAAAGAGCAGGCACAGAATGTGTGTTACCACAGGGCTTCTGACCATTCTCACACTTGCCAGGTCAGCCGAAGAAGGAGAGCTCATAACTAGGTTAAGTTTATTTGCTCCTTTGCTCTTTTCAGTGAGCTGTTCCAATGCCCAGCCTCCCTGGTGCCCTGTTCAGGGCCACTTTCCTGCTGTTGGCCTTTCCAGCCCCTGCCTTTCATGCTTCCTTTGGATACTGAGGAAGATGTGCTGTACAGAGTGGAGAGGATGTGTTCCCTACAGAAGGCAAATACCCTCAGAGGGTTATTTGTATTTCAGTGATTGCCTCTAGTCAAGTTTTGTTGTGTGAGGTTTTGAGGTGCTTGCTTAGATGTAAGATACTAAGTTTTGTTTAGTGAGGCTTCTTTCCTGCATCGGTTGCTGACTGCAGTGGGTGCTGTGGGGCATTAATGAACAATCTCTGGCACCCTCTGAATGGGCTTTCCTGTCAAAACTTCAGATGCCTGAAAGATCAACCCATTAGTGATGAGGCCAGCGTCAGCTCAGCCTATTTTTAGGTTTTTCTTTGCTGCTTCACTCTTTGATGTAAAGACAGCTGTGTTCCCCTCTCTCGTTATGCAGACCAAACTTTTTATCTGCACTTTGGAACAAGCTGTCCATTGTTTTGATCACTCACTGATCTTTCTCTGCAGCTCTCCTGTTTGAATTCTTGTCAATCATGGTGACTGTCACTGTGTTAATTCAGATGTGGCTCCAGTCCATGTTCAGTTGTGTAAATATTTCCATATTTAAATGCAAATCTCCTCTGATAAGCATTTGAGGAAGCCATCCCCATACACTGTGGCTGTGCCTGCCTTGCAGCTTGGAGGGGTGTCTGACTAGGCTTTTTCCTGGTTTTTGTTTATGCATGAGTAGATTGCTATGTTGTGTGTTTTGAAGAAACCACACAGAGCTAAATGCCCTGAGTGTGGTTTACTTCTGAAAATGAATTCCCCTGTGTCTTTTCTAAGTTAACGTGGTTTTCCACAAGTGTCCAAGAATCCTGGCTCAGGGTCTGACAGCTGTCTTTTTATTCCTTTTCCTCCTCCTCCTCTGCTGCTTTCTTTCTCATTCTATACACTTTGTTCCTTTTTTTTTTTTTTTTTCCCCAGCTGTTTAATTGCTTCTAAAGTTTTGGAACATCCTCAAAAGTCTTGCTTGGGCAGTTATTTTCAGACCCTTAAAAGCAGTAAGTTTTACTTCCTTTTTCCTATTGCTGCATTTGTTACCTGTTGAGGCCATACTTCCAAAGACATCTCCTCCTGGTAAAGACAGAGCAGCATTTTTAAGGGATTGCTTGTTCCCAATGTCTCCTTTCCACACAGAGCACCTGAAGAAGCGCCTGGAGGATTACATGGCGCAGTTCCCCAGCGTGCGGATCCTGCGCACCAAGAGGAGGGAGGGGCTGATCAGGACCCGCATGCTGGGGGCCTCGGTGGCCATCGGGGACGTCATCACCTTCCTGGACTCCCACTGCGAGGCCAACGTCAACTGGCTGCCCCCTCTGCTCGGTGAGTGGGGCTGCTGGAATCATTCCCACCTGCTGCTTTCCCCTCGTGCTGTAAGTGGATAAAAGATGAAATATCATAGGAGGACAAACCACAAGACTCAAGTGAATTGTTGGCGATTTGTAGTGCTGAGTACAAGATTTTTTTCTGTGCAGTAACCCTGCTGTATGCTTTTGTTAATTAAAGAGCAGAAATCATATTCTTCTGTTTCTTCATTAAATGAAATCTTAAATAATTTACAGCTTGCTAGAAGAGTAAACTATCACATGGTCATTCAACAGCTTGCCGAGAGGAATGGCTTGATGATAGAGAAAAGATTTTTACATATAGTTTTTGAGTAGTTTTAAGGGTTTTATCTCCAATATAACTATATTTAACTTCATAGTCTGCAAGGCTGTGAAAAATACTTCCTGTGAATGAGAGCTGGTGGTGTGTATTTGTAGAACACGGGCGCTCCTTTCCAAGGCAGCACTCCATCTTTGAGGAGGTGTCAGTTCCTTTCAAGGATGACTAATTGAAGGGGCAGTGCTCTCTGTTTCTGGTACCTGTCTGCCTCTGGCCGGTACCAAATTCCTTCACATCCTGCTGCCAGTGACCTGTCACAGCTCTCTGAGGTGTGACTTTCTCAAACAGGTTGTGGCAACAATTGTCAAGCAGAAGTTTAAGAAAGAGTGCAGGATTGATGGATGGTTATCCTGTTGCTTTCACTACAGTTTATATTTGGCAATAGTTTGAAACGTTTGCAGCTTTATGAACCCCAGGGAGGGAGGACAGAATTAGCTCCAATGCCATTTAAATGAGAACACTGAGAGGATGCTTTGATTTTTAAAGCACAGAAAGGATTTCTGTGAGATGTTTTGGAAACTGAAACGTCATTTTATCACCTCTGCTCTGAGAGCTAACTTCCAGCAAGAGACTGTCTCAGTAACAAAGTGTTTAAGAAATTCCAGATGTTTATGCAGGAATTGATCCTGTGTTTGGTGGGAAGAAAAGGTTGGGGGGCAGGAGGTAACGCTTGAATTGCTTGAGCCTGCTGAGAGTACTTATGCCATTATTCTGAAATGCTTCCTGCCAGATTCTAGTGTGGCAGTTAGGGCTGGGTGGTGCCGTGGATTATTCCCTGGATCTGGATCTGCGCAGAAGGGGTTCACAGCCTGGTCACTTGTGGAAATGAGGATGGCTCACCGAGTACAAGAAGTCTGGTTTTAGCCTGGCAGTCATTTCTCTGTGGTAGTGTGGCTGTGTCTTCCCATTCTGCTTCTGGGTGATGGGTGCCTGGTGTTTGTCTCTCAGTGATTGCAGAAGTAGCAGATAAATTGATATAAATTCAAGCATCTGCTCACTAGAGAAGGAACAGGAAGAAAACTGTGTCATTCTTGGACAACTTCATATTTTGATGCTCTTTTTTAGTAATTTCATGGTGAAAGGAACCAGCTGGTGCAGGTTTTCTAACATGTTTCTCCAATCTTTAGATCGCATTGCCCGAAACCGCAAGACAATCGTCTGCCCAATGATTGATGTTATTGATCACGACCACTTCGGATATGAGACTCAGGCTGGAGATGCAATGCGAGGGGCGTTTGACTGGGAGATGTATTACAAGAGGATCCCTATTCCTCCTGAGTTACAGAAACCTGATCCCAGTGATCCCTTTGAGTAAGTTACTGAAACGCAGAGTGCTAAGAGCCAGCTAATGAAATAATACCCTGCTGTAGGGTTGGTTTACACCTCAGCATTGCAAAAGCCAGAAGCTGGTGTTAAGCTGCTTGCTTTTTTGGCAGCTGTTTGCTTTGCTGGTTTAAAAGAAATGCATTGTATAGTAGCTGTGAACACTCTCCTTTTCATTGCTGTTTTTTTGCCACGTTAATTCCTGCAGAAGTTAACATTTCACTAAAATCTCTAATGTGTAACAATTAATGCGGTCATTTATTACTGAGATCTTTCAAACATAACTTAGGATCCCTAATGCTCTGCCAAAAACAACAAATCAATGGTGGGTTATGTGTCATTCCCAGATGGGGGAAGAAGAAAACTAAGCAGAATAATTACAGCAATTTTGATTATTACAATGCACTGCAGAAGTAAATCTGTGATCAAGTTGTGCTCTGCTGTTGCTGTGCTTGCCAACACTGAGACAGTTCTGCTGTCCATTATACTCTGCAGTGTTTAAAAAAAATAAAAAACAACCAACAAAACACTTTTTGAGGTCAAACTCAAAGACTCAATCCTGCAACAGAAGCAGAGCACCATGTGTGGAGCATACAGGTCCCTTGGGCTGAGGTGGTGTCCTGTCACTTAATGGTCAACTCCCTGCTTGGAGGAGAGGCATTACTGGGTTCTGAAGGGAGCCTGGTCTGGTTCTCCTCGTTTGCAAGTGGGAAATCAGTAGATAACCCCAAAACAACTGTTTGATGGGCTGACGGGGCTGTAAAGGCACTGGGAACACTGGGTGGTGAAAAGAATATTTGTCAAATCTTGCTTTGTTTTTTAAATGTTTAGCTAGAGATCTGTGTCTTTGAATGTGTTTGTAATACGGAGTCTGGTTTTTCCTTAAGGTCTCCTGTAATGGCTGGAGGACTGTTTGCAGTCGATAGAAAGTGGTTCTGGGAGCTGGGAGGGTATGATGCAGGTCTGGAGATATGGGGAGGAGAGCAGTATGAAATATCCTTTAAGGTGAGCCATGTTCTCTGGAAATTACTTTTGTTTTGAAAAGTAAGAATTTGTTCTGAGGCGCAGAATGTGAATGATCTGTCTTGTCCTTTTGCATGTGACTAAAGGTGAAAGCTGGGAGTAGTAAGATAGTGCACAGAAGAATCAGCACTGATGTGAGCAGTGACCTGTGAGGGTGAGTTTTGGAGCAGGATTAGCTGGGCTGTCCCCATTCTGTGGTCACAGCTCCCATGCAAGAGCTTTTCCCAGCAAGGGTAAGTCAGCTGGTGTGGAGCTCTCTGCCTCTGGGGCTGCTTTGTGCTCACCCTGGCAACATGGTGAAATAATTTCTCCTTGAGGGAAGGAGGATTCCAGTTCCAGGAGGACCTCAGTGCTCAGCTTGAGTTCTCAGAGAGGAGAACAGCTTTGTCTGTAGTCAATCCAGCTGACCCCTAGCTGTGAGGAGCTCAGCCAGGAGGAAATCTTCAACAACTGGAGTCATTACTGTTGCTGGCAACGACTTTGGGTCATTATCTGCCTGGCCTGGGGACAGTTGTGCCACTGATTGACTGAGCTGGTCAGTGGAGGGCTTTAAGAGTGAGCCAGCTGCCCAAATATGCGTACAAAGAGTAACAAGTCCCTGTAACCCACCAAGACTGCTGGTACCTGTGTTGGGTTGGACTGTGGAACTCTGAAATCCAGTTTGGGAAACCCACCAGCCCGTCCCAAGCTCCTGAAGGCAGGTGCCCAGTCCATAACCTGGACCAAACTGAGTAAAGATATCTACATTAAACTCTGTTTGAAGTTTCTTTCAGAGGTTGAATATTTGGTTCTACAGCTGTCTGGATGCCACTAATCTAAGCTAGCTGACCTTACATGAGGCTAGAGGATAGCAGGGATGTAGTGCACAGTTTGGCTTCAGCAGCTAAAATTCTGTCTCCCCTGGCAAATCAAGGCTCATACTTTACAAAACAGATTCCAGGATCTCCATGCCTCTGAGCAGTTCAGAGGAATACAGAGTGTGGCACATTGCTGTACACACACCCCATGTGCTACTGGGCAGAACACAGTGGGAGAAAAGACACTGATTTTGAGACAGCCTTTTCTTCCATCATTTCCTCACCAGAACCCATAAGTCACCTTGGATGTCCCTTGTCCTTTGTAACATTGGCAGGAAGGGAGGGGTGAGGGGCTCCCTCTCTGGGGGTGTCATTGTGCTTAGAGCCATTTCACCTGTGTGTTGTGTGTAATGAAATTGTGTAAGGTGCTCATTCTCTGCAGGAGGGGCAGCATTCAGCCTCTTCCTCTCTGAAAATGCTGGTTTCCAAGAGTGATGACAGTGGCTGGGCAAGCCCTTTGTCTTCAGTGCCACAGCAGACAGTCACACTGCTTGATCTGCAGGAAATAAGACTGCCTCATTCATCTGTTTGCTTATCCCCTCTGAAACATGCTGTGTTTTATTTCAGTCCAGAGATGGTAATTTATGGAGGGATAAATTTGCTTTAATTAATCTCTGCAAAAACCCCCTTTTTCTTTCATTGTGCAACAGAAAAAACGAAATTTTCACTGAAAGAGGCTCAGTGTATTTTCAGAAATTAAGATAAATTGATACATTCATCTGTGGCTGATAGATTTAATAATTCTCCTGGAATTGCAAGAATAGAAGGTTTGTTCATAGAATTTATGAAGCTATGACATTTCCTGGTGAGCTTAGAGCTATGTTTTTACCTTTAGAAGCAGATTGAAATTTTGTAGTTAAAGATGCACTGTCAAATAATTTAAAGCCCTGGCTTTAGGTGTGGGGTACCCACTTTCACATTATTTTTTTATCTCATGGGAATGCAGATTCTAAGCATGCCAGATATACAGCCCAGCTTTAACAAAGATTCTGTTCCTGTCCCTGGGTGCCATGGGTGCAGATACTCTTCTGTACTGCTGGCCTGTGCTCCATTGCAATGGATCTGGCCTTCTCAGGGCTCACCAGAAGTAAAGGACTTCTGGGGGAGGTTTTTTGTGTTTTGGATTTTTTTTTTCCTTAAGCATAATCTTCTTTTGGCCATTCATGTACTGTGCTTTGCAGGTTTTGCCTTTATTTTAAAATACAGGGCTCTGTTGCTGAGAGACTGGAAATAAACAAGTTTATTTAGGAACCTCTTGCCTTTCTTTTTGGAAATCGTACGTATTTCTGTTATCAGCTAGCTCTGCTCCCTTCTGAGCAGAAATTTTCAAGCAAGCCAACAGAGAAAGCATCAGTGTTTAACATCTCAGAAAACATTTAGCTAGAGGGTAGATCAAACTCTAGAAACCTTGCACTTTGTATGAAACATGTGCATCAAACATCGTTAGAAAATGTTGTGTGTAGGAGGAACAAAAAAACTGTGGTGAACTTTCAAACCTTAACTGCTGGTTTGTTGTTTTCTGGGTCCTAGCAATGCCTTAAAACAGAAATGTGAGTTTAGAAATGAAGGAGTTGATCTATCTATTCCGTATTCAAGCAGAAAACAGGCACTGCTTCCTTCTCTTGACCTGTGTGCAGAGCAGCTCAGTGTCTGTGAGCCAGCACTGCTGCAGGTCAGGGTGACCCCAGCCACAACAGGCACATCACAGTCTGCAGTGGTAGTTACAGGTGAATTCCCAGGGCTGACCTTGAATCGTGTTCTTGTATTTTGGAGAAAGTGTAAACAAGCATTCACAGCTGCCTGTGGGGCATTTGTCACCTTTCCTTTCTGCTGCCTCCTGGTTCCTCTGTGCAGCAGGCTTCATTCAGGTGCGGTTCTTTGCTTTTTTGGCGTCACTTCCTCACGTCTCCTCTCTTGCAGTTTTTCCTGGTCTTTTTTTTATCTTCCTGATTGTGGAAACAAAACTCAATTCTTTACCCAAAGTTACAATGGACCTTTCCTCTCCTGAACACAATTTAGCAGCTGCCTACGTAAGCGCTTTGGTTTTTTTTTTACATAAGTGCATTTAATTTGGAGCAGTATGTGTGAAGCATTTAAACTGTTCCCTTCTGCAAGTGCTACTTTGTACAGCACTTAGCTGTGTTCAGTTTTATTTGAGATGGTGTTGCCTCTTTTCCAATATTTTTGTGGCTTCTATTCTGTTTGGCTTACATAAATCTTCACTAAACTGCTTCACGCCTCTCTTCCATAAATACATAGTCTGTGATGTTTTTTGGTTATGGGGAAACAGAAGAGTAAAAAGGGATATGTCTGACTTGTGTAGGCATATAGATGTACTTTGTATCTCAGATCTGAGTGGTGTGGTTCTCAGTCCTTTAATTGCACACTGTACTTGAAGAACAAAGAATGAGAATCCAGAATGTCCCACTCCAGGAGATAAATCATTTCACTTTTAGAAACGTTTGCCTTGTAATTTGGAGATTGTAAAGCCTTCATAGAAGGCAAAGGGCTCAGTGCAAACAAGCCAAATTGACAGTTGCCCTGAAAAGAACAATTAAAAGGTAGACAAAAGAGCTGGTTAGTACTTGTGGCCTTCAATTCTTACTTCAGCAATAGGAAAAGAGCCATTGCACTTATTCTGGTCATTGTGGTCATTGCATTTTTCCAGATCCTTTTCCCAAACCATCAACATGGATTGCTTCTGATTTCCACAGCTTAAAACGTGTTACATGTTTTCCAACAAATCCAAGTGCTCCATGGCTTCTGTTCACATGTCTAATGCCTGCCTCTCCCTTGCCCCATGCCAGCAGCACATTTCTGATTCCCATTTTGCCACTGGGCTCTGGCAGGTGTGTAGTTTGGCTGCAGCTGCCAAGGGATCCCTTCTGACAGCATTTCTGCTTGTGTTGCTGAAGGTAGTGCTGATTGTGAGCCTGCACTGCTTATTCCAGGCACATCTCACTCCACTTTCCAGCAGCTCACATTTGCCCACACTGGAACAGGCCAGGCATTCTGCTGCTTTTTTGTTGTTGTTGTTTTCAGCCAGCACACGCTGCTTAATTCTGAGGCCCTCAGCTGCACTACAGGCCGGCTTCTTTCCTATCTGGTGATGCACAGAGCAGTTTCAGACCATTGACTTGAATTTTTTGCCTCTGTGCACCCTTTTCTTGGTTCAGGTTTCTGAGCAGCCTCCCACCAAGCAGCAGCAAGGAAGTGCTCCCCTCCACTCCCTGAAATGTGGTTATTACAAAGTGCTGTCATTACTCTCAAATGCTGCAGATGGTGAGGATGGGCTCTGCTGGTGTGTGGTGTGTGAGAAGGTGCTGTGCAAACACACAGATCCCACTGCCTCACGGGCTGCCTTAATCTCTCAGAGAGCACCAAGTCCCAGCAGCAGGAGCAGCTGATGCTTCCAGTATAGAGGATTACAATTTTCCTGAGTTATTGTCCTTGCTTTCATCCTCTCAGCTACTTTGTTATAAAGAAAACCCCCTTGACTTACCCTCTGTGCCCTTTTCCTCCCACCTTACAGTGTGTGCTCACACAACCAGCCAGCTGCTCTCTGTAGGTCCATCCCATGGTCTTCATTTCTGTCTCTTGCAGAAGCAGCTTTATTTTCAAGGCTTAACTATCCTTTGTATTTTTTCCCTCTCTTGGGAAGCATTGGCTCATCGTGGTGCAGCCTTTGGAAACCATAAACCTTGTATACCCAGATAATTTGTGTTCACACACCAACTGCAGCATTGTATTGTGTGTTTGAGAGGAGAGGTTCAGCTGTCTTACCTGACATTGTTTTCTGAAATTGCAGAAAGGGAATTGGATCAGCATAACATTCCCATGTAGAGAATAGGTGGCATATTATCTGCTGCTCTCACAGCATACTGACTGAATCAAAGGCTCTGGAGTTGCTTTATGAATATGGAGTTACAGCTCTCCAGGCTGCTGGGAAGATGGAAGCAATATCACCAGTGTTAGTTTATTTCCCTTGTGTGGTTTCTATTATTAGGGTGAGATTGTGGCCTTAGTTAAATCTGCTCAGTGTGCCCGTTGACCTCAGTGTAGCCAGGTTTTTTTCTTAATTCTAGCAGTTCTGTCAGCTGCTGGATTCCAAGCCCAAAATGAAGATTGGCAAAATTGTGCCTGAGGAGGAAGAGAAATTTCCTGTTCTCTCTTGATGAGATCTGATTAGATTATTGTAAGAAGCACTGTCTGCCTGACCGGGTTTAATTCTTGTTCTTACGGCGTAAATGGCTGTTTGAAATCAGGTGCAAGTTCAGGCTCTGACGTTTTCTGTCATGTCAGCTGAGGAGTGAGGCAAGATGTGTAAAACACCTAGAAGAAACAGGCTAGAGAAGGCAGTAAGTGCCAGTCAGTGTTGTGGGGAAGGCACAAGGTGCTGCCCCACAGCCCAGCACCATTTCAGCTGCCTGACAGCGCAGTATTTTTAGCAGTGTACATTCTGGTGTGTCATGCCTGGGAACTGTACTCTTGTTTAAAAACAACCAAATATCAGTAACTGAGTAGAAGCATTCCCTCAGCTAGCACACAGCTATTTTGGGTTTGCTTCCCTTGCATTTACTCTTTGACAGACCCCTGGATGCGATTCTCTGACCTTTAGCTCTGGGTTTCTAATGCTTTTGTTAGCTGTGCTTTACCAATGCATATCACGCTCTTTCTCTCTCCCCTTTCTTCCAGTTGTATAGATAAGGACTGGTAATTGTCTTTATGGAGGTTGTAATGAGTTCTGTCACCACACAAAGCAGCTCACTAATAAAATAAATCAAAGCAGCAAGGAATGAATGGAAAGCATGCCTTTAAAATTAGATTTGTACTGCGGGTGCCATACTGTCACTTGCAGTGTGAGGAAACGTTAAAAAGGCACAGAGGTGGCAAAGTACCTTGAAAGGGTCACTGAGCTCTGCTGGTAGGGATTAGGAAGCCTTCCATTGCCTCCATTGCAGCATCGTTTGCAAGTAAATATTTTAAAGCACGAGCAAGAAAAGAGCACGTCAAATTGATGTTAGGTTTTACTTATTAAGCAACTCAGTTAAGTAGCTTTTCTGATCACATTGCATGTGTTTGTGTGATGTTGTCTTCTATGCCTGGAGTCTTGTACCAGCTTGGAGCTCCTGGCCCATCAGTTCTGTCCAGCTTCCCACTCTGCTGCCTCTCCAGCTCTGCAGCTCAAGGACAGCTCCATCCTCTCCAGCTGTACTGACTGCAGGGCTCTGCTGCTCAGCTTGCACAGGGACATCATGTTCCAGAGAAGTGTATTTGTAGTGGCCTGGCTGAAAGCTTTTCCTTAGAGACAGGCCAGGTGAGGCATCCTGTGGGCAGACAGCAAGGAAAACAGGCTGGTGTTTGCAGCCAGGCTTGTGGTACACCAAAATGCAGCTGCTGTGAGCTCCTTGCTGCAGGGTGCAGTGCAGGGTAGTGCAGGTTGTTGAGGAGTGTGTCTGTGTAACTGAGCTCTGGGCTTCTGCTGCTGCTCCTGAAGGTTTTTATGGTTCCCAGGTCTGTTGCAGTTCTTACAGCCTTGCACAAACCATTTCTGTCCTAGAAACACAAGCCATGTCCAAATTCTTGTTTTCTCAGCCTGTTAATTTCCCAGCAGCAAAATCACACCCTGGCCCTTTGCAGCCAGAAGCACAGTCACTGCAGAATAAAAAGCATTTCTAATTCTATAAGAAACTTCACAGAAGCTGAGTGCTAGTTTCTTTTTCATCTCTTCTGCACCAGCCTCTCAGGACACAGCAGGGACAAAAGGAATGAAATTCTGTAGGAGTGTTTGTCAACTTTCTTCTTGTCTCTCTCACCATAACGACATGTAATTAAGTACCTTGAACTTTAGAAATTGCCCATGAAAAATATTTCTCTAACTGAGAGCAACCAACCTCCATTAGGTTATACACAGTCAGCAAATGACTGTAATTATTAGGGCCAGCAGACAGAGCTGAAACTCCAGAGGACTTTAGTGTCAGAGCTAATAATTATGCAGCAGCCTTGGCCAGATATTTCTCTTCTGAGCTAAGTATTTAATATTGTCACTGTAGAATATTAATGGAATTGCCTGCTATGTGTGAAGCTGTTGACTAAGCTCATTGTACAGTGAACTGTGGTGGCTCAAATTAGCCCCAGTGAGCAGGAAGACCAAGAGCACTGCATCAGCCTGCCTAAAATCCACAGCCTTTGGGGCACTCCCATGGGATCTAGGGACAAACGGAAGAGCAAAGGCAGTGCCTCCCTTCAGGAATTCAGAAAGTCATTTCTTTGGCATTCTAAAGGGTACTTTTTATTTAAGTATTGATTGGATATTTCTGAGAAACAGAGAAATATTTCTTAAACCTAATGAGGTAGATTGGCTGGTTTAGAAAACTTCTCCATTTGTTTCACTTGGACAAAATTACTACATCCATGCTATAAATAAAGAATAAAAGAAAGTTGTTGCAGAGTGCTGGCACAAAGTGAAATCTTCCCAGATGGGGGAGGAAGCTTTTGGGCCCGCTCTAGACATTAACCCAGCACCAAGGTAGTCATCTCCAACTAGCAGTGTGTTCTAGTGCCTTCCTGAGGGCTTTTTTAAAGCTATTTATGTGTTCAGCAGGCAGAGATTTCCACTTAATTGTAAGGCTGCAAAAGCAATGAATGAATGTCAGCAATGAAACCATAAAAGAGCAGTGATAACCACAGGAAAAAGTAGCAGTTTCTTCTGATTTCTGGCACTTGAACAGGCTCATGAATTCCCTGGAGCCTTTTGCATAACACATGACCACCTGTACTAGGGAGATGGCCTCCCTTTTACAGCCTCGTTACACAACCTACACCCAGGGTTTTTTATGGCAGCCCAGTTTAACTATTGTGGTTACTATTGCTGTAATAACATATATCAGTTTATAGCGAGGTGTGTGCTGTTTTCTCATTGCTTGGATTTTTTTTTCCCTGTTCTTTTCTGTATAGAAGGCTTGAGAGCCCTTGTGCTAAATCCAAGCTTGCTGAATGGCTCTAAGCAGGTTGTTATAGGATTTGGGACTAAGGCAAGGAGGGGAGGGGATTTGGGAAGAGTGTACTTTAATGTAAAAATCTGGGTTAAGTTTTTTTTATTACTTGGAAGTCTTTTCTTTTTCGTTTTCCTCCATAAAGCCAAGACTAAATGTTTCCCTGCTGTTCCACAGGTGTGGATGTGTGGAGGTCGCATGGAGGACATCCCTTGCTCTAGAGTTGGTCATATCTACAGAAAGTATGTTCCATACAAGGTTCCCACGGGAGTCAGCCTGGCAAGAGTAAGTGGCAGTGGCATTCCCCACGGCAGGAGTCTGACTGCAGCGTGCCCATGCTGTTGTCTACTCTCACCCCACAACAGGAGGCAAATGTAGGGCTTTTTGTCTGTAATTTGCACTTGTACAGTGCAAGCTGAGCAGTTTTGCAGTGGTGGATGTGTAGCATAAAGGGAAAAGAGCTCAGGGAGCTGCAGATGTGTGTGTAAACAGCTGCCATGCTCCAGACATCAGCCACTGCTGGGTGCTGGGCAGGGACTTTGTGATCAGGAGCTGGCTATAAAAACAAGATATGGCTTTATTTGTATAATAACTTCAGTCATTTTATAGCTGTGCTCTCTAAGAGCAGCAAGCTTCAGCAGGGTGATTGGTTTTGGTGATTGAAAGACCTCTCAGCTTCAAGCATCACAGACCACTGAATGGGCAAGCTGTAATTTTCCACAAAGGAATGTTCCGTGCCATCTTACTTCTTAATCTAGTGTAGCCCAAAGAAGAAAGAGCTTTCGTCTATCCTGCACTGGGTTTCTCTAGCTGATGTTCAAATTGAGGAGGGATTGCATTGCCCTCTGGTGGGAGAAAAACATCCTAGGAGCAGGAAGACTGCAGAACTAAAAACCTCAGAGAGGTGCCCTGCTGTTCTGAAATCTTAAGGTTTGCACAGTGTTACAAAGCTTTAATGGCATCACCCCAGTTATAGATTTGGATTAATTCCTCGGCCCAGCAATGACCTGTCAGAATGACAGAGCACTCTCCTGTCTGTGCCATCTTTTCAGGAGGGAACTGTACTTCTTTTGATTCATAGTATTTTGATTTCAAGTATTTGGCTCTTTTGTACTCCCACGGTGCTGGAAGGAGACAGCAGAGAGATAGGAAAGGCTGTTTCTTGGCATCTTAACAGACACCTTGAGGTAAACACCTGCTCCTGTTGTGTGCAGGTTGCATTTGGGGCAGGATCAGCACGCTGCTCACTCTTAGCTTCCTCACTTTTTTGGTGGTAAATGATCACTGCCAGATTGAGCAGCTTCAGGTGAGCAGTCACAACTGCACATGCACATTGCCGAGGGGCACCAAGAATGTGCCTGATGTTGCCAGAGAACAGCCCAAGGTCCAGCACTCTCCAGGGCACTGTGACAAGCAGGTTGTCTTGAGTGGGTGGTGTTTGTTGCTGTCTTGGAGGTGCACAGGGGATTAAGCTTTACAGTAATATATTAAATGTGCGGCTGCCACAAGGTAAAGCCCTTTGCTTCTGCTCTGAAGGGTCATCACCTGAAAGCTCCATATTCCTGAGGTATCTCAGAGTTTTACCCAAGAAAATGGAAAAATAGTGCTAAGAAAGAGTATTGTGAACTAGAGCTTTTCAAAAGGGAGTACTTCAAATCCCATTCCTAGATGGATATAAAAGATGCAATAAGAAGGATTTAAGAAAGCAGCTTTTTGTCAGAGACCTTTGAATGTCCTGTGGTATTTACCAGCATCATGCTCTGACTAGTTTCCTTACAGAAAAAAAAAAGATAAAAAAACAACTTGTGATTAATGTTGTTTTTCTTAGCCACAAGGAACTAGATATAATGGCCAAGTGCCAGCATTCTGTTTTGACCTCAACTGAAAATATCTTTCTAAAAGTCCCTTGGAACTACAGAGTAATAAAAATAATCTTTGTCCTGAAGCTGGAGAGAGAAAGAGTGGATGTGAATGAAAATCCTTTCTGAGCAAAAACACGCCAGCTGCTCTGAATGCTAATGGTGGCTTGTGCAGCACTCTCAGGTGGTTTCCCCTCTCGTTCTCCCCCACAGAACCTGAAGAGGGTGGCTGAGGTGTGGATGGATGAATATGCAGAGTTCATTTACCAGCGCAGACCCGAGTACCGGCACCTCTCTGCGGGCGACGTCGCCGCTCAGAAGGAGCTGCGCAACAACCTCAACTGCAAAAGCTTCAAGTGGTTCATGAACGAGGTCGCCTGGGACTTGCCAAAGTTCTACCCACCAGTGGAGCCTCCAGCAGCTGCCTGGGGAGAGGCAAGTTTGTGCTCTGGCATCTGCAGTTTGGTTTTGTAAGGCTGCCCATGTGCCTCAGTTGCTGTGAGTAAGGTGCGAGCGAGTGTTTAAAGATCTGCTTGATGTTTCAAAACCCAAAACTCCTCTACCACTGCACTGGCCTGATCAAAGCAGGCAGTTGGGCAGGCAGCTGCTTCTATTAGTGCACAGCTCCAACGAGAATAGAGACTTGGCTTGTTCTGCATGTTGTGTATTTAGTAGAAAGCAGAATATGCCAGAGGGAGGATTAGGGAGAGGCGGCAGCTGAGCAATAATGAAATCTTGCATTTCCAAAGGGCTTCACAACTGTGTTGAGCTACTCTTGTTCTTAGCTTTCCCGTGCGAAAGGCAGGAAAACCATCCATATTTTTGAAAGTCAGCTGTGTTCTAGATATAGAATCACCCCAGGAGCAAGGCTGTGAATTGTTACATGGAACTGTTGTGGCTGAGTGTTTTGGGTCATTTAAAGAATCACTGGCAAAGGTGTTGGCAATAGTAGGTGTAATATAAAAGTGAAAGCATGACAAAGTTTATTGGTAAGGTTCAGTCTTATGACTTTCTAGAGGGTTAAAGCACACAGAGAAAAAGCAAACTAAAATCAATTAATCTAAAATTGAAAAAAAATCAAAAATTACCTATGTTAAGACTGGGAATGGAAAAGCATAAGGCTAAAAAAGAATAAGAGAGATCCTCCCGTGGAGTCACAAGGTTCAGAGTGGACCCCTTACTAGCTCTGAACTCAACTAACAGTTTAAACATAGTGGTTTAACGGCACTTAAACTTAACAGCACTTAATCTATAGCTTAAGTTAAACAAGTCAACAAATAGAATTTACTCTAGCACAAGAGTAACTCACAAATCTAAAGTACTTAAGAATCCAGAAGAGCAATATTCATTGTACATTTGCTATAGCATATTCACACTGGCATAGACTTAAGGGAGAATGTACAAGGTAAAGACCTGTGAAAAATGGCACCACAGACAGCCCAGCCCACAGTGGGCTCTGCAGTCCTGTCCCTGCTGGGTTTTGCTGTGTGCTGGGGGTACCACTGGGTCCCATTTTGAGTTCTGTGCTTTCTTCCATCTGTTACTGGCCAGCTCACACTCAGAGTTAGAAGAGGAATCTTCAAAACTATCTTCATACAAATACTGCTGCAATTTGAGATAATTTGAGCTTTCTTTCCTGGTAGGAGTAGGAGATTCAGTGATTAATTCACTATTTCAGATACGCAATGTGGGAACTGGCCTGTGTGTGGACACTAAGCATGGAGCCCTGGGATCCCCACTGAGGCTGGAAAACTGCGTGAAGGACAGAGGAGAGGCAGCATGGAACAACGTGCAGGTAACAACCTGATAAATCACCAGCCCCTAAATCTGGGCAGGGACAGGTTCCAAGGACAATGCTGAAGGAAGGCCATTCCGAGCTGTCAGGTGCACCACAAGTCTCACATGCTGATTGTACTTTGGTCGAGGATGTGGCTTGTGCTTGTGGCACAGGGGGTTTGGAGCCTGGCAGATTGTGCAGAGCTTTTACCTCTGCTTTGAAGTTATCACAGGGAACAAAAGAAATGACAAGAAAACAGTGTGCCAAAACAATAAACCAGTAACAAGGCAGCTGTAATATGTAACAAAGTGAATATTAACTTCAAAGGTTGTGCTGAAAGAAGTGATAGAGGAGCATCATGCATATTAATGAACCTGCAGGAGCATTCAATAACTGTTCACTATCATCCTCCTGACAGGAGGCAAATGCATTATAAATACCCAACCATTGCTGGAGAGATGAAACCAGCCAGGTTATAGATTCACCCTCTCAACATATGAGATGCCAGAAACGACAGCTTTATTGTAACAGAAGGGAGGAAAATATTAGTTTGTCTAAACTGTAGCAGCTGAGCTGAGAAAGAATCAAGAAAACAATGCCTCTATTACACAGCCATGCATAACTCTTCAGGGAATGGCTTCAGTAGTAGGAGACAGAGGGTTGTTGCATATCAATTTGATGCGTGAAAAATAGAAACAAAACCAATTTACTCAGGCACAGTCCAAATCTAAGCCTCTGTTGTGTCAGGAGGATCTTGAAAATTAGTTTTGGCTTATGTTTAGGAAGAGAATGCGGTTTGAACTTCTGAGTAGCATTGAGCCTAAATGATTGTGGTAATTTCTCTCTCAAGAGGGATTTAAAAGACAGCCAAGAACAAAGTAGTTTCTTTGCGCAAAAGTTTTTGGCCACACTGCTTCAAATAGCAGCACCCTAATCATTACTTGTGTTTCTGAGTGCACCATGAGAGATCTCTGAGGAGAACTGTTCCTCCAGCTGACTCCAGAGGAGCCTCCAGAACAGCTTTTTCCGTAGGGACTGGAAGGGAGGAGTGCTGGCTGGCAGCCCTGCAGAAGCACATGGGCTAGTGCTGCCCTTTCTTCAGGGCACTGCATTGCCAGGCAGAGGTTGTGCTCAGTTACTGGAGTTAAAACTCTTCCTCTGCTCTGTTGAGTCCCTCCTTCATTTCACCTGAGAGTGCTGAGAGTTCATTGCAGGGTCAACAGAAGGGAGCTCCAGGAAGCAACGCCCAAGTGTTTGCCTTTCCTGCACTCCTGTGGGTGGGGTGGGAAGCTGTGGCTCCTGGCCTCTTGTGCCAGGAGTGTGGGACAATTTCTCAAGGTGACTGCAGGCTGCCTGTGCAGACTCTGGTGTTCACTGCCAGCGTTAACTCCGAGCTGCTGGAGCTCTCTGGCTTTTTTGCTGGCTGGGAAGGGCTGTAATTGGTCAGCTGCTCACTTAATCCTTGATGTATGTCTGCATTGCAGAGACATCCAGGGCTGCTCTAGTACCCAGACTGACCAGCAAGGCTGGCTGCAGTAGCACAGTCTCGTTTCACATGCTGTGTGACAGCTGGTACAGCATCCCCTGGTCAGCAGTCCCAGGCCCCAGAGACAGGAGTTGTTTTTCCTCTAGAAGATACTGTCCTTCCCTTGAAGCCATCCCCAGCCTGTGGGCACAGGGAACACAAGTATTATGACCAGCCTTTGTGAGGGTCCTGTTTGTCCTGGCAGGTATTCACCTTCAGCTGGAGAGAGGACATCCGTCCAGGGGATCCTCAGCACACCAAGAAGTTTTGTTTTGATGCCATTTCCCACAGCAGCCCTGTGACCCTCTATGACTGTCATGGAATGAAGGGGAACCAGCTCTGGAGATACCGAAAAGTGAGTCTGTGTGTGTGGGTGTACTCTCATCTAAGGTGTCAAATTGCCTGAGGCGCTTACATTTCCTGAAAATGTCACCACAATGTTTTATTCCTTCTCTTAATGTAGCTGTAATAAGAGAATCTGCAGAGAGTCTGTTGTCATTGTACCATTGATTGAAAAGAGGTGACTCCCCTGTTTCACTGGTTAGAAAGGTGAGGACCCCAGGGCTCCTGAGCAGAGGACACTGTGCAGTGTCCCCACAGCTGACAGTGAGGTGGGGCAACGCCCTTCTGTTTGCAGAAAGGTGTTCTGAGAGTGGTTTGTTCTGAGCTGCAATGTCCTGCCAAAAGTAGATAAGGATTTATTCATCCTCCTACTAAGCAATGCTATTGTGGGCCACAGGTAAGTAAATTCTTGTCTAAGTGCCCTGTCCTAGTCCTTGCAATCTGCTGGCACAGTTCGTGAGAGGGATGCTGCAGGATTCCAGCAAGAGGCCCTGGGAAGCTTTAGAGAATCCCAGTGCAGGTGTGAGGACTGGGCTGCATTCTTTTGGAAGGGGTGGGAATGAACTCAGACACTTGTCAACCAGTTAAGTGTGGAACAATTCAGATACACCCAAGTGACATAATAGCTTGCCTAGGTTTTTAAGACTTCCTTCTGTTGGTTTTAAAACAACTTTTCTTCTCCACTTATGCAACCTCACGTCAAATTTCTCTCCTCCAGGACAAGACCCTCTACCACCCAGTCAGCAGCAGCTGTATGGACTGCAGTGAGAGTGATCGAAAGATCTTTATGAATAGCTGCAATCCTTCATCTCCAACACAGCAGTGGATATTTGAACACACAAACTCAACCATCTTGGAGAAATTTAACAGAAACCTTGATCTTTAAAAGACTGAGAGAAAAAAAAAATATATATATATATATTTTACAATTATAGTTTTTACTGGGGAGGGTTACAAAAAAATTTTTTAATACTTTTTTTTAAACACTTAATGAAGGTAAAAGGGAGAATCTCAGGAGAAGGTTAACTAGCAGGCCAGTCTTTATTGCAAAGATGCTGCATCCTTCTCTTCTGGGGATGGTGGAATTTTAAAGGCTTTGCCAGAGCCACTTCTGTGCTGAGACTGAACAGAAACTCTGTTTTTAGAGGAGTCTGAATGTGTTTCAAATGGCGTTTTTCATTTTTTACCTTTTGTGTTTTATTTCCCACTGGGGTCTAGTGTTAAATGATTTTGTTATCCAGGACCCTGCAGGACTTTTTGTAGCTGCTATACCACCCACTGAAGCATTCCCAAACAGGTGCTTTATCTTCCAAACTCCATATAAGTAAAATATTGAAGACAAGATTTAAGCCTCCAATCAAAAAAAAAAAAAAAAAGAAAAACCCCATGAAATGTGTATTTTTTTGCCCTGAACCAAATATATTTCAAACAGGTTGAGTATTATTACTTTCCAAATCATAGCTCTGATGAAGGAATGAGCTCTAGTGGAAGTGCAGCCAAGTGTTGGGAATATGGCTGTTGTTATTAGCCATGAGGAATCTGGGTTTCTGGTCCATTCACTTTGCAGTCAGTTTGTCACTCACTGTTGAATCTTCAAGGTGAAAGATTAGCAGAGGGTTTTTTAATAATCACAGTTCTTACAGATAAAGACTTTATGCTAAAAGCCTTTGGATATCAGATTCCAAATTTGCCTCATATAACCTTTTTAGCACACACATCTCTAGGATTTCTGAGTTAAATCTACTGCATGAAGACAATTTCCATTTTTCCTAGTTTGAAGGCTAAGTTAATTTACAGTTGGTGTGAGCAGATTAATTCAGGATAATAAATTCAGGGCTGAGATTAGCCGTTGGTCTTTATCTGTTTGTTCATCAGTCTGTAGTTTCTTAAGTCCTGTGGTCAGTGGTGTTCTAGCCTTGTGGAAACGTGCTAATTAATCTCTCCTCATTTCCCAGCACCCACAGCACTGTGCAGTTTACTGTGACTGGAAATCTATTTGCTTTAGCAGAGATGTGGGACTGATTGACCCATTTTCCTGGTACCCTCTCTTTTGTGCAGTGAGTGAGCAGACAAGGTGTTACCCCTTCTGCTTTGGCTGTGGGATCTGCCAGACAGTGAACCAGGATTGTCTCATCCTAGGAGCTGGAATGTACTGACACTAAAGAATGAATGGAGGATCATTGGTTCAAGTCTATCTGAAGCAAGTATTTTTAAAAAATCTGGTTTCAAATGAAGTTGTTGCAAAAACACATTTACTGGTTCCCCTGACTTAGTCTTGTACTGAAGGGAGCAGTGACATTTTCTGGTAAAAGCTGTGAATGATGACGCAGTGAACAGATGCTGTGTAAATTAATAAACAGGATTCCTTTGCCAGGAATTGCCCAGCTCCTTGGTTTGTCCAGCTGCCCATGCAGGGGTGTTGCAAGAGTAGGTAGCAGGCACCCAGCTCTGGGGTGATGGGGATGGGACCCCTGTGGGATGCTTGATGAGCATTGCCCCTCCTCAGGGGCAGGAAAGCTCTGCTCTGGGGTGTTGTTCATGTGAAGGCAAGGAGTTGCTACCCTAGTGTCCCAAAACAAGCAGGGTGGCTCCCTCTGCAGAGCTCCAGAAGCAAAAAGCCCTTTTGTTGCCAGTTGTAGGGTTGTGTCCCGTGTTTCAGATGTGTTGGAGGCCATGTAGTGCCGTGCCTGGCAGCTGGGAGCAAACAAGGACACAGCTGCCTGCCCCCAAACTCTCCAGGATTGTGTAGGAGGCTCAGAATCGTTTCCACCTGTCTGATCCACACCACTGAGGCCACGTCTGACCCTTCCTGCCAACTTAGCTGGTCCATGCAGTCATGGAGAACAGGAAACATGGCCACTGCATTTGCAGCTGGGACCGGACTTTCCAGATTTTGATGTCTAAGATTTTGGCAATAAAGAAAGAAAAACAGCCCTAGACTTCCTTTATGACAGTTCTGCAGCAGTATTAGGTGGAAGTGAGACCAGCTTCAAGCAGAGTTGACATCTTATGTTCTCAGTTACTACAGTATGTCTATCATTAGGATCCCTTTGCATTTCTGTGGGAGCCAGAGTCACCTTCCAGCACTTCGTGTCTGACTGCTGCTTTCCCTAAGTTATTAATGCTCTCATTAGCAGAGCAGTGCTGACTGTGGAGCCACTAGATGGCCTGACTAGATGTCTTTATGAATGTTTTAATGCCTGTGGAACAAGAAGCTGTTTGTCCATGAACAGTGCTAGTTTTTTATAACTGGGACACAATCAGCATATTCTATAAATGGACTGTAGGTTATTCTGCTTGCAGGTTGCAGCTTTGTGTGTCTTAGTTTTCTAATGAGAGGATTAGCTTCTGTTTCTAAACTGCATGGCTTGCTTTGTACTTGGGCTCACCTTGTGAAGGGAGCCCTAGCTTGGCTCACTGGATTCTTCCTTCAGGGCAAGCTGCAGCAATGAACAGGTCTTTTACCACTTGGTGATCTTAATTTGGAGAGAAAGGTCAGCTCTTAGCAGCTTGCACCAACAGACTAGGCAATAGTTGAGGCAATTCCATTTGACAACCCACCACCAGTACACAGAAACTGGAGATTTAGTGGCAGTGGTTGTACCAGGTCCATCTCAGTGTGGTTGATCTCTCTTCTGAAGGTTTGGGATCTGAGTGGGGCAAGAGCCTCACAAATTCTGTACACTTCTGACTAGCTCACTGTGTTTTGAGCTATTAATTATTTGCATCAGTTACACTTTTCAGTACCCTAGAGGCTTTGTTGACTAATGCAAAGACTTAATATTAGCCAACCATCCACTGATTGAGAAATATAAGGTGTATTTTATCATCTGCATCTTTAACTGAGCCTTTGCAGGGCAATCTGATTAATTATTTCAATTACTTTTGGTTATTTGTAAGCAAAATCACTAAAGCATGACTACATAATCAAATCTTCACATCTGCATGCAAGTCAAGACTGGAGATTAAATACTGGTGATTATCGAATGCCAAATACATGTTTTCATCTTTTCCCCCCAAAGGTATTGAAACACCCTCTTTTTGTGGCTGCATATGTTTTGCTGCTTTTAAGTATCAGAATCCCAGACAACAGGGTGTGTGTTATGTTGCATAAAAATACTTTGATTTGCTCTTGAAGCTGTTGTTGATCTATACTTGGTGCTAATCTCTAAGGCCTACAGACAGTAAATAGGTTTGGGGCTCTCATGTGTGCAAGGTGTCTTTTCTCATACCTAGGAAATTAATTCTCTTTTTCAAACCACAATAGAAGAAAGTGTGAGCCTTCCTGAAAGGGGAATACAGCATCATTAAAATAAAGATGTGCCTTTTTAAATGTAAATGTACAGCAAATGCTTAAACTTGAACCATTTCCTAGTGCCTTGCTGGACAAGAGAGAAGAGGAAAAGGGGTTGGGGGATAAGGATGTAAAAGAAAGCTTGACTCCTGCAGGGTTTGTGTGTGGGATTTTTTTTTTTTAATGTCTGATTTTCAGTGCAAAATTTGTGTGAACGACAGTAATTCAGAAGCTCCTGGGTTCCCTCTGTTAAATCGATCTGGTTAATGACTCTGGGGAGGTTTGTCACTCCTAATAGGAAGACTTGGAAAGGCTGGCAGCTTCCTCTGGGTGTGTTGTAACAGCTGAAGCTGTACTGGAAGATAATCTTGGTTAGCTGCTGGATGTTTCACCTCATGGTGAAGGCTCATGATTTCACTGGCATGCAGGATCCTGCATTTTATTTTCTATGTATGCAAAATACATATAGTCCCAAAAGCATATAAAATCTGTAGCAGAAGTGTCTTTCAGAAGAAGTTGATGCCTTCCATCAATAGGAAACTTTTTCAAGAGTGTATTCAAATCTCAAATACAGAAGTAGCAAGAAAGCAATTTCTCAGCCTAACTTTCCTCGTGGTTTGTTTTACAGCAGTCTGTTCACAGGGCTTTGCTTTCCTTTAATACTGGAGTGTTCCAGTCAGCAAACTTTCCTTCTCCCTGCTGCACTGAGATCAGTGACCTGAGAGTCAAACAGGCACCAGCAGCATTGCAGGAGCACAGTGCTCTGGCGCTGCTGCAGGGCTGTGACAGCAGCTCTCCTGGCTCACATCACCCAGGGGAGACATCTCCTAATAGTCAGATTGGGCAATCATGGAACTGCCAGGTGAAAAGGGGGGAGATTTTATTCTAAATTGTCTTTCAGGATACAGACAGGGACTTAGAATTGATTGGAGAGAACAGCCAGCCTCTGGCAGTCAGCCTGTCACAGGAGCCCTGGTAAAGCCCTGTGTGAAACAGCCCAAGTGATGCACCTTGTGTCCCACATGCACTCCCTGCTGCTGGGGTTTGTGGATTCACTGGGTGGTGTCACAGCAAAGGGCAGCTGCCTTGTGAGTCAGGAGCACTGGGTGCTGCTCCCTGGCTGCCATGGCCTCTTACTCGATCTTAAGCAAGGAAAGTCTATGCTGCAGTTTCCCAGCTTGTGTAGGATTCACCTTTAAGTGCTTTATTTTCTGACCTAATGAGTCTTGAGTCCAGATTTTAAAACAAGCTGGAAATCCTCACCTGGTTCAATTGGAGAGAGATGCAGTGGGTGGAGAATGGGAAATGAGATCTGAAATTGCCATCAGCATTCAACACAGAGTCATCAATTCATTTCATATTCCTCATTAACCAGTCAGATTGATTTATTCACATTATAAATTTGAAGTGTAACCAAAATAAGCTCACCTCCTGCTCTGATTTCTACTTTGTAGTGCCATGCTTTAGCTTGGAGGATCTGTATAAAACTAGGAATGATAGATCATGGAAACCCTAACGAAAAGCCTGTGTCTGTTTTTGACTCTGCCTCTGCTAGCTGAGTACACTCCTTAATTAACTGCATTTGAGCTTTCTTGATGCTTCTGTATGACCCAAAAGGCTTCAATGATTCCAGCAGTTGTCAGTGATTTGGGAGTTTTATATAAAGCCATTGGATCAATGTGGTTTTAAATATACTGGTTCAACGCATGAAGGAAAGTCTTAATCCCTGGTATTGAGCAAACAAATGTGAACTTCAACCACAAAACAAGATAAAAACTGATCAAGCTAACAGCCTGAAACTTTAGCCCTCACAGTAACAGCAACAAATAGCTTTAGCCTCTAGGGTGGAGAAGGGAATTGGTTTCAAAATGCATCCTCTAGGATCTCGGTGATTAGGTCTAAGTTTGTCTGTACCTTGTACTGCATGCATTTCTCTGTAAAACTGGATGGTGCCTCTTGAATCAGTGTGTATTTATTTTGTGCGTATTAGGAGCAACAGCCTAATATCTGGGGGTGGTAAAGGACTTGTAGCACTTTAATGTAGTAGCTTTCATAAATTGGGAATCATTGATAGAATGCCTAGTGTTTTTAAAGTTGAATGGACTTCCTTTTATAATATATTTAAAATAAATTTTTAATGTGTTTTCTGAAAACTGTGTACGCAGACGTGACTGTCCCCGCCTGTTTTGCTCCAGTGATTGATTTCTCTTCTACTTGTGAGAATAAACTCAGCTGCCCTGGTGTGGTGTTTCCACAGCACAGGTTTCCTGTCACTCCATGCCCAGTGGTGCAGTCTTTAAGGAACCACGTCTGTAGTGGACGACTTGTGCCCAGGTAGGACACCCCTGGGGTGGACTGGCCTTGGCAGGGCACGCTGGGGAGCCCAGAGGAATGGAGAAAACCCAGCTGTGACTCTTCTTTCTCGGGCTGTTGGCCTTGGGAGTGACTGCTGGGAAATCATCCCCACCCCTTGGTTTGCAGGGGTGGGCTGTAACAGCTCATGGTTTGTGTTCTGATCTCCACGTGGGGAGAGCAGGCTCAGCCCAAGGTGGGAGAAGTGTATCAGCATTGCTCATGTTCCCACCAGGACCCTCAGTGCTTCCTACTGTCACCACTTCATTTCTTCAGTGGCCTTCTCAATGCTCCTTTTTCCTCAGCTCCATTGGGTGAAGAACATTGGGGGGGGAATGGATGAGAGACAAAGAATGAAATGTGTGAAAATCTGTGTGTGGGAAAAGGAGCTTTTCTGGGGGACCAGCAAGGCATGATCCCCAGGGAACACTGTGCTGTGATTCTTGGCCACGGGAACATTGCCCAGGGTAAGTATGTGCCAAAAGCTGTGACAGTTTAAGCATTTTAGCAGGTTCAATATGTGCAACCCTAGAAAAGTGCTGAGGAGAGTGGGAGTCTGGGGGAAGGTGCCAGAGCAGTGTTTTCATTGGCCTCCCCAAGGTACTGCAGAAGGAAATGGTCTGATTTCTGATGATGAAAAGTTTAAAAAAACCTTCTTCCCAGGACATCTCAAACAGCACAGACCACGGGGAAAGAAGTATTTCTGTCCTGAGCCCCCTGAATGGCTCCATTAAAATACTAAGTTCCGGATGACAGTCACACCACTGACTTCGCTTCAGAGGGAAGTGGTGCTCCAGGTAAGATTTACAGGCCTGCACAGGCTCCCCTAATTTGATTAGAGGCTGACTGGGATGGCCAGGCTATTACTGCTTTAGAGGTACTAAAGCTGCCTGGGTACTGATGGGTTTATGAAACATTGTTTCTCACTTCATTGCAGCTCCCACAAAGAATTATTGGATCAGGTTAGTGATAGATACCTAATAAAGAATGTCTCGATGAGGCAGTTTATTTTGCAGAAAGCTTGTTCCAGACTAGCAGACTGTGAAATCTGGAGGTTCCCATGAGGATAAATATGCTGAAATAAACTGCAATTATAAAAACACCTCCATTTGTTTTTATTTTTTAAATTTTGTAAGACTGAGAAAAAGGTGTCATCATGTTTGCCTGAGCGGGAGTAATTAGCATCGAATTAGCAAACAGACAGTGACAAAAGTTGTTTTTCCTCCTAGTGAGCATTGCAAAAGGACTTAAAACCTTTTTAGCTGCAGAGATGAGAGGTTGCAGCCCAAGATTAAATACAATCTGATGGTCAGTACCAGCCTGTTCTGACACTTAGGGTGCCTATTTCTTCCCAAAATACAGTCAGGGGGCACCTGCACAATCTTCTCCTCAAGGGGACAGGAAAAAGTTCTGCTTGTTCCCCTTTTATCTCCTTGCTTGCTCTTATTATTATCTGCCCCTATAGTCTGTGGGTTTGGCTTCCAGAGTGTCAAGATAATCCTGCAAGATTTCCTCAGCCAGCCATTTGATTTTTATTGGCAATGTTAAGATAAAGCCAGAAAGCTTGTTATCAGCAGCTCTGAGATCTCTGTCAGCCTCTTGGTGTTTTCCCTTTTCCCAAAACAAGGGACTATCTCTATGGCTTTGCCAGGAGGGTATTACTTCAGGCAGGCAGATTCCAATCAGTTTGATCTGGGGCTTTTATAAGCCGTAGTGTTTTACTGTTTTAGATCTCTTGGCTCTTTGCTAATTGCTTGTTTGCTCTGTGGGTAAAGTCATTTGTTTCCACCAGCTTCCCGTGAGAGCGGCCGTTGTCCCCAGGAGGGTGCACTGTGGTTCTCCGCTGGTCACACACACAAACAGAAATTACATATTGCCCGGGGGCACCCTCAGTAAAAACCGAGACGAGAGTCGGAACTGTTGAGGAGTATGAAGTCTCTACCCTCTAAATCTATTCTGGAGCTTGTTTGGTATTGTAAGGAGTGCTTGGAAAATACAGATTTTGGCTTTTCTCAATCGTCTTGTGCAGAGCTGGTTGGCAGTGTTACTGCGTGGAGAGCCTGAGCTGATGGCCAAGGGCTTTAAGGAGTCTCTTTCTTGAAAAGGTATTTTGTGTGATTCAGCACAGCTCACGCACATTGTTCCATGTGCAGGATTTCAGGCTTTGAAGTCATTTCAGTCTACATTTCTTCTGTCTGAGCAGAAAGTCCTTTCTTCAGGAAGATTAAATCGTTTTCGTTTTAGAGCTGCTCAGGAACCTCTGAAAATAGCATTTGCTGTCTGGTATTACAGAAGTCACAGCATTTCCAGAAGTTACATCTTTTCTTCACAAATCAGCAAGAATTGTTACACACACACACACACACACACACACCACTTTTTCGCCTCCTTTTTTCTCCCCTTTTTTATTTTCTGGGAGACTTGGGAGTTAGGGTGGGGGGTTTTTTGTCATTTTTTCGGGGTTCTTTTTGGGTTTTCGGTTTGGGTTTTTTTTTTTTTCTGAAGATGAAAAATGTGAAGTTTAAAGTCACATTGCTTTGAGAAACATTTCTCCACGTCCCATCTTTTTACTGTCGCTGCCTTGTGATCAGGGGAAGAAAATTAAATTTTTTAAAAGAGAGTTGTGTTTCTTATAACATAAAAAACTACATTTCAGCCAGGAACTGCAGCCTGGGTGCTGACCCAAGAGCAGCACGCATTTGTGGCTGTGCCGATTCGGTACGAGGGCCGGGTCGAGCCGCCGCTCCGGGCCTGCTGCGGGTTCAGGTCCGTCACGGGAGCGCTGCAGGCGCGGCTGCGGGACCCGCGGTGCCCCGTGCGGCTGTCCCGTGCGCGTCTGGGCAGCAGGGGAAGCCCGCAGCCGGCGGGGCCGGATCGCCTCACGCCTCCCGCGGGCGGCACCGGCCCGGCGGCCGCGGGCAGCGCCGGGAGCGGCCGCGTCCCCTCAGGGTCCGGGCGCCGCCGCTCCCTCCGCGCGCCCCTCACCGCGACCTTCCGGCTGCGGGGGCCGGGCGCCGGCGGCGGACGGACAGCTCCGCTGGCCAATCGGCGGTCGGAGCGGCGCGGAGCGCCCCGCCCCTCCATCCGCGCGGCCCAATCAGAGACGGGCCTGCGGGCCGGGGGCGGGACTTCCGCGGCCGGGGAGGCGGTTTTGTGTGTGCGAGCGCTGCGCGGTCCCGGCTCCCCGCGGGCGGCGGCGCTTGGGGGGCCCGGCCCGGCCCGAGCCGCGGGCAGCGCTGAGCGGCGGCGGCGGCGGGGGGGTCCCCTCCCCTGCCGTAGCGGGGGGCCCCCGCGGAGGCGGCGGGGTCCCCCCGAGGGCGCGGTAGTGACGGCGGCTCCGTCCCCCCAGTTGGTCCCCCGGTGGTCGGCTCCCCGCGCGGGGTGAGGGGCGGGCAGGTGGGCGATGAATGGGTTCAGCACCGAGGAGGACAGCCGGGATGGGCCGCCCGCCGCCCCCTTTTACGGCCAGAGCTGCTGCCTCATCGACGACGGGGACCGCTGCGTGCGCCCCGCCGGCAACGCGTCCTTCAGCAAGAGGATCCAGAAGAGCATCTCGCAGAAGAAGCTGAAGCTGGACATCGACAAAAGTGTGAGTGCGGCCTCGGCCGGGGCTGCCGGGCGCTGCCGAGCCCCCCGGAGGGGCGGCCGGGCCGGCTGCGGGCGCCACCGCACTGCGGTGCCTCCGGGGAGATGCGGATCCGCCCGGCGGGCTGAGCTCCGGGCGTGCGGGGCCGGCTGCGGCACAGCGGAGCCGCGGACCGCGCTTGCCCGTCCTCAGCGGTACAGCTCGGGATAACGGGAAGGATCCTTAGCTCGGGATAAAGGGAAGGACGTGCCTGGGCGCACCGGCTGTTCCCCCCGTGCAGAGCCGGCTGTTCCCCGTGGCACTGCCCGCCTGCTGAAGCATAACGCAGCTAAAGCCCTGAACGCCGTGCTGGGGAGGCGGCTGTGTGCAGGGAAGCAAAGGAGCGAGCTGTCAGTGCTTGGGAGGCAGGAGTGCTGTTCCCGATGCGGTCTCGGCTTGGAAAGGCTGGTGCTGGCAGGTGAAAACAGCGCTGTGGTTGCTGCTTCAGTCAGGTGGCACTGACGTTACTTCTTTAATTGCGAAGAATTGGTGTTGTGGCGAAGCGGGTTAAAGAGCGAGCTGGCAGTGAGATGTGCTGCCTCTTCAGCAGGGTTTGTTCGCACACGGAACAGCCCCGTTTGCTGCCTGATGACATTGACAGCTGTCAGCTCCAGATAGAAACGGGTTCTTTGCCCGGCAGAGAAGAGCAGATCACAGAAGGAATTTCTCAGAAGTGACTTCGTTAACGGAATTCAGCTCTGCACGCTTTTTGTTTCGCCTGATCTGTAAAGATCAAAACCACTGAAAACAAAGCAAAAAAACAAAAAAGGTGAAGTTTTGAGTCAGTCTGTTTGGCAGCTCCCCCAGTTGGTTGGGTCCCTTCTGCACAGCCGAAATGCATCGTGTCACGGGAAAAGTGACTCAGTTTGAAATGGATTCTTAAAAAATAGAGCATTTCTCCCAGTTGTAGTTCTCAGCAGATTTGTCTAGTGGCGTAGTAATTTCTTGCATTTTAGAAATTAGTCTCTGATGCCAGGCTTTAGGAACAAAAAGGGGAGATCAGACTAGCGCAGTCAGAACAAAGGGAAAGTGTAAAGCAGGCTGCATGGAGTGATTTTGGATGTAGGGTGCCTGTGTTATCTGAAGATATTTTGCCTTATAGACACCAAATAATTTTGATCATTTGAAGTCCTTTGTTTTGCTAACTCAAGTGAGATTATATTTGTTAAAAGGGAG